CCAAACTTATTGACATAAATTCATGAAATAGTAGATCAATAACATTTTGAATGCATGTCAACAATCAAGATGACATGGTCTTTTACCTGTGACCTGTCTCAAAAGGGTTAATACTAATAAATGTGTATTTGTTACAAGAAGATTGTAAAAACAAAAATCAGTTTTCTGGCAGTAATTTGAAACCTTTCTGTTTCTCTGCAGGTTGAAGTTGGAGATAACTTGCAGTACTCCATAGGATGGTTGAGTTATGAAGCACCTTCAGCTCAAGATAGCTCCATCTCCCAGAAACTGATTATTGGTGCCTTTGTAGGCGGGGTAGCCTTTCTGTTGGTGGTCATTATAGCAGTTATCCTTTACAGGCGCAAGTCTATGGAGAGCAGCCGTGTTCTTAAAAACATGCAAGAACAGATGGATGTGTTAGAGTTGAGGGTTGCTAGTGAGTGTAAAGAAGGTCAGTAATCATGGTGTTTGTTAAATAAAAGAAAGCCTAGTTCTTCTTTTTTGTTAGTATTGTAAAACCTTGAAGTTGTTTCAGTGGAGCTTTATGCAGAGTAGACATAGTAGGTTTGAGAACTTTAATGGACTACAACTACCTATTAAATATAAGCAAAACAAACGAGAGAGTTGATGTTTCAACTTTAGGCCTCAGTAAAGGAACTTGAAGGTGCCTTGTAAATCTATATGTGAATCATTAGCAAATGTAAGAATACTTTTGTTCCTACACCTTTAGGAGATCTGGGTGATCTAAGTGTATAGTGTGCTGTAAAAAATGGGATGATCATTAAATATACAACTAGTCTGTTTTTTAAATATCTAAAGTCAAAGGGATTATGATTGTATAAAATGTATAATAATACTATTTCATAGGAAGCATATATAATTTCATTAGACTTATACAAGATTCAAGTTAATTTTCTTATAGTTATGGATATAGAAAGCCAGTTTACTATTCACAAGCACTATTTAATTAGGAAAAGCCGACTTCAGAGAGTGAATGTTGCGATATTTATTTTTGTAGCTTTTGCTGAACTGCAAACTGAAATGACTGATTTAACAAGTGACATGACAGCAGGAGGAATTCCCTTTCTTGACTACTGTACTTACTCAATGAAAGTTCTGTTCCCTAACTCAGAGGACCATCCAGTTCTCAAAGAAATGATTGTAAGTTATTTCAATATAAATGTAGTGTTAAGTCCCCTTGTGTTTGTTTGCAAACTTGGTATTTGTAAGATAAATATATTTTGATTGATAATTTGTTGTTGTTTTTTTCCAAGGTCAGCAAAATTATTTCCTTCTACTACAGTGATTTTTTTACTGTTAAAAATTGGCTCGCACATCTTTTATTTTTCTTGTTCAATGACAATGATATATATAAGTGTCAAAAATGTGTTATTCTTCAACATATATTGTGTATGGATGTGACTTCATCGGGTCATTAGAAAATTAATTTCATGCTTTTTGTTTGAATAGGTTGATTCTGTAAAGAAATCGAACATTGAAAAAGGTCTCCGTCAGTTTGGTCAGTTGGTAATGAACAAAACATTCCTACTACTATTCATCCGAACTTTGGAATCAAATCGTTATTTCTCTATGAAAGACAGGTATTACTGTTTACCCATGCTAGTTTTGTATCTAACTTAAACATTCGTCTAGCTACTGATATTAATTGTACATTTTTTTTATTCTCATTGAAATTAGGACAACTGATTTGTTGTCCTTTGTTCAACTGCAAAAAAGATTTTATTTCTCACAATAGAGCCTGGCATTGCCTAGTGGTTAGGGTGCTTCAATGACAATCTGCAGGTAAGGGGATTGAAACCTGGTGCTGAACATTCTTGACCTATTAGTTGTTGGTGTTGCTATATGTGATTGATAATCCCACTTCTTGTTCATACAAAAATACCCCAAGAAGTGGTGGTGAGTGTTGTTGATCAGTTACCTTCGCTGTGGTTGGTATTTCAAAATTAGATGTGGCAGCAAATAGTCTTGTTGCTGTGTGACATTTTTTTTTCTTAAACTTGAATGCAAACTGCTGATGATTGGTAATTATTTACGACTTTAGTATGTTAAAAGCTCTGTTACTTTAGTAGAATAATGTAGTTACAGAAGCTTTGATTTTTTTTTAAACATTAATATAGTGAATATTTTCAGTATAATTTGGTAAACATAACTGACATTTTGTGATCTTAATGATTACACATATGGTGTTTATATTGTGAAACATAAAATAACAATGAAACAATTCCTTGTGTTTTGTAACTCTTATTTTACTGTACTACACTGATTACGTTTTGTATAAAATGAGGTTTACCTCTCAGATTACTGACTTGTTTTTTATACTAATAGTGGTGTCCACATGTTGCAACAAAATTGAGTAATTTTATGTTTGTGTTTGTTACTCAGAATAAAAAAACTTAATAAACAAGAGTGTGAAATTGCACATTTAAAGTACATAGAAAACCCCAACAGTAGTTACTAGGATTAATTTATATAGTGATATTTTGTGTGCAACTCAAATTTGAAAAACAATGAGGTTTACATAATCCCTCTAAAAAATTCTAGGCTTTAAAAAAGGTTGATTTTCCTTCATTATATCTGTTCTGATTTTTGAGGAAATTTGTTTGTTTTTTATTTAGAGTGAATGTGGCCTCTCTGATCATGGTAACACTCCAGGGAAAAATGGAATATAGTACAGAGTAAGTCCTTTTGTTATTAGTTTCTAATGATATACAGGTGGTTTGCTACATTTAAGAGTAAATAGCTGAAATTTCTAAGTCTCAAAGCATATTTATTTTTAACTGAAACTTAACAATTTTAAAATAAAACAGTTTCACTTGTGATGAAAGCAACATACTTCTAGATGGTCTCTAGTCATATCAGAAATGTAACTATAGCATATACTAAGGATCAGAAATATGTACAGTGTTATTCAGGCTTTTTAGATGTAATTATATGTTTTGAACCTAAGTTTGACTATTTGTCAACCTAGGAATTGGAACTGTTTTACAAGAGTTGTTGTTGAGAAAATGATAAAGGCTCCTCACTTAACAAACCTTCTTTGTGTTTCAGCATATTGAAAACCTTATTAGCAGATTTAATTGAAAAATGCATTGAAGGGAAGAGTCATCCAAAATTACTATTAAGAAGGTGAGAAAAGTAAACTTTGTAAATTAGCTCGTAATGGTCTTTATCCCCCTTTACTGAAAAGGTTTGGGGAGATGTTGAGTTGATGTCTGCCTGTCAATCTCTAAATATAAGTCTACTTTCCACACAGTAACTAGAGTTTTAAACAGCAGATTTTAGTTAAACTTCACAGATTGCTTCCCTTAGGGATAGGGAAGAAACATATTAACTTTGGGGTTAAAAGGTCCAAGTCACCAGGAAATGGAAATTTGATTTCTGTGCAAAATAAAACATTACAAAATATACTCTGTATTTATGAAAACACTAAAACAACAACAGGAAATGGAAATTTGATTTCTGTGCAAAATGAAACATTACAAAATATACTCTGTATTTATGAAAACACTAAAACAACAACAAAAAGGTTAATGGTTAGGAGAATTGCCCATTATACTGATAGCTGTTTTTAGTAATCGTATTACTTTTATGCAAAACAAAATGGATGAGTATGTATTTTTTTTATGAAAATATTTAAGCCATAATAGACAACCAAAATGAAGGTTAGTTACTGACTTAATCAAGATTTAAACTTGATGCTTTTTAGCCATAGAGGTTGGACCATCTCTTAAAAATCATTGCTTTGTTAAAAATATTAGCTGTACGTTTTTTTTTGTATCGGCACGTATCCTTCAAAATTTAATTCAAGGAAGAAATGATTATTTGAATAAAATACTTTAAAAAAATTATGAAATCATTAAAAATTTGCTATGATGTTTATCTTGCGACATGATTAAACATCAGGTCATTTTTTGTTTGTTTTTTGTAGAACTGAATCTGTAGCCGAGAAGATGCTGTCCTCCTGGTTTACTTTTCTTCTTTATAAATTCCTTAAGGTCAGATTTGCTCCTTTTAACTACTAGTTTTCTTTACAAGAGTTCTGTGTTTTAAACTGTTTAGTTTTTTTAGATATCAATAACCTGGTTATTGAAATCTCTGTGTGCAAAGAAATGTACTGTACAACTTTTTTTTTCATTGTGACAGTTGCCCATACTTAACTTTATTGTTTGTTTTTTACATCACTGCTGTTAAAGTTTTGTGCACTTAATAAGGTAATTTTTTTTTGTAATGACATTATCTTGTAAGTAGTTTTCTTTTTTCTTGACATGTTCTGTCAATCTAAATATTTTATTAACTTTTTTTTTTTCGTAATTGTAAATGACATTTTTTCCAAATGAAATCTCTTTACCTTAATTGGTTTGCAGGAGTGTGCAGGTGAGCCACTGTTTGTTCTGTACAGAGCTATTAAACAACAAGTGGATAAGGGGCCTGTTGATGCTATAACTAGCGAAGCCCGTTACTCTCTCTCGGAAGAAAAATTGATCCGACAGTCTGTGGAATACAAGGGCATGGTAAAAAAAAAATTCTCCTTATTTTAATATTGTATAATGTGTAGCATCTGGTTGGCTAAAGACATTATTAGGTGGCTTAAAGTGGTTATTTTTAAACAGATAAAAGGTATGTTTGAAATGATTTTTCATATGTTTTGTGAAAACAAATCAAGAAGCTGAAAAATGTTCTTGAACAAATTAAGCAAAATATTTGTCAATTGTTGCTTGAGATAATGGCTGTAAAAACTAAAATAATTGTGTAATGTTTTTTTTTATTGTGTGTTAGAGAAACTTGCCACTCATCAACTTCAATTTAAATGTATAAAATAACTTAATTCCATATTTAAGAATTGTATTCTTTTCAGTCTGTATTAGTGTCAATGTCATCACAGACGGGATATGTCACAGGGCTAGAACCACCAGGGGAAAACACTGAGACACCAGTGAGAGTTTTAGACTGTGATACCATCTCCCAAGTGAAGGAGAAGGCTTTAGATGCTATCTATAGAAACACTCCATTTTCTCAAAGACCAATGAAAGAAAATTTAGATTTAGGTATGACTGAAACATTTGTTTTCATGGTAGTGCTTAGTTGGTATGTAAGTTAAAAGAAGCTAATAATAAAGTTTTCTGTTCATGTTTCTTTATTTTCATTGCTTTCTCCATTCAGAAAAAATTCCATTATATTTGACTATGTAATTATTATTTTACATTTTGTTGGCATTTGTATTTCATAGTCAAGTTTTTATTGTACTAACAATTTGTAGGAAGAGTTAACAGAAAACATCGAAACGTGTTTGTCCATTCCGTGGCAGTTAACAAAACTGCTTTACCAACAATTTTAAGCATATTGGAAAAGACGAAGAGGTATCATTAAGGCTTGGCTTCAAATGTCTAATTAATAGTTTCCTTTATTCCGTAAGTTCTTTCATTCTCTATTGTGTAACATGACACCTTGTGATAAAGACTTCAGCATACTGTGCTGATTTGAGAAGAACTTTCTGGACAAAGTAAACTTTATTAGTTAGACATTTGAATCCAAGCCTTAATGATGCCTCTTTGTCTTTTCCAATCGTTTTAACCGACTTTGTATGATGCTAAGACTAGAAATAAAATTGTACAGAAAAATGTGCATACTTGAATTCAGTTGCAGAAGCTAATGCTCTACTTGTAATAATTTTCATGTAAGTCAAGATATCAGTTTATTTTAATATTGTGATGGTTCAGGCTGCAATTGTTTCATGAACTTTCATTGGATTTATTTCTCATTATTTTTCTTAAATAGAATAAAGACATTATTTCATACATTTAGAAACACTGTTTTCTTGTTGCTTTAGAATGGAGAGCTGGCACGCATGGTAGACTAACTTTATCTGATGAAGATTCAACTTCAAGGCTTGAAGGGGAATGGAGGCGCTTGAACACACTTAGTCATTACAAGGTTTGTTATTCATGCTATTAATTTTCGTTATAAGAATGATCTCAATCTTATTATTTTAACATAACTATAGCACATTTAGAAAAGCATTTTCTGTACTTTAATTATTTTTAAGAATACGTTAACGTGTGGTGATGCAGGAAATGTGTGGTTTGAAGTATGGAAGAAAGATTGCTTTTATTTCAGTGTCCAGTTGTCTTTTTTTATATACACAACATTTCCTTATCAAATTGGCCTTTTTTATAAAATCTTGGGTTTTGTTGGTATAGATAACTTGTTATAAATTTTCATAAAAAGGAAGTAGAAAACACAGCTGCTTAACACACCTAATGAATCATTTTTCTTTTTTGATGTATGTATTATAATAGTTGGAAAATTTCCTACATAAACTTGAATTTTTTTCACGTCTTCATTTGTTTGTGTTTTTCATTTCCAGGTTCCAGATGAGGCTTTCTTAACGTTAGTCCCTAGGCAGTCATCAATGTATAACATTTCAATCATGTCAGATAAAAATGAAAAGTCACACAAATATGGTAGGTTGGCTATTTAGTAAACATTTTTTGAAATACATAATTGTATAGTTGTGGAGTATTAAGTTGGGTAATGAAATAATATGACTATTTTATTAGCACATGTTATAAAATATCATAGAAAAGCTGCACTTTTGAGTGTTAGTTTCAGTTCAGATAATAAATTTTTGTTTGAAAGAAGAAATTGTAATTTATATTTCAGATATGCTAAATTGAAAGTTTTTTAACTTTCACTGCCATGGGCACACATGTGGGACACACTATACAACCTTTGTTTTAATCTTAAAGCGTGATATTAACCACGTGTAAGTTTGGAAGAAGAGTACTTTCTTCCAAAAATTTCCAAAGTTCACCAATTTCAGAGAAGTAATGAAGTATTTATTTATTTATTTAATGTGTATCTTTAAATAAATCTGGTGTTGGAAGAGTTGTCTGTGTAGCAGTGAAAGTGTTATAGTATTAATTGAGTTTTTAAATAATATACTTTATTTTTCTTCAAAGAAATTAAACATATCCTGGTCACAATTATGTTGAACTTTTTCCCTGAACAGAAACTCTAAACTTTCCACTGAAAACAAGCCCTCCTCTAAGTCGAGCTACTTCACCCCTGAACCATGATCCTGAGGCCAACTTTAGACCTTGGCATCTGGTAGGAAATGTAACCCACACTTGAATAAGAAATGCATTGTAGTTAGTTTGTTTTTTAACCTTTTTGTCCTCTTAAAGCATTTGTCTAGCCAATGCATTTTTTCTAATATTATTAAAAATGATGAATAGACAAAAAAAAATATATTGTTTTTGATATTTTAAAATGATCTAGTTTTAATTAATTAAAATTCAACTTTTGTGAAATTAATTGCTTCGTTCTTTTTTTGGTTGGGTGGAAGTATTTATGGAATAGCAACATAGAAAATTATAGATTTTTGTGGTATTCTTGCACAAAAATAATATACCACTAACAAGATAATGTTTTCTCTATAAAATTTAGTTAAAAGTTAATGCATTTCATACCTACCAGACTTTGTCATTCACATATATGAAAAAGATCACTCATGCATGTATATTTTTTCTAACTTAAAGTTAAGTTATTTTAGGTTTTTTACTTAATAATTTCATTACTTTATCTGATGCTCTGTTTAATATTTTGAGTATTAAAAGGATTGTAGCTAAAGCTTTTTATAGAAATACAGGAGTTACAAAAGAAAATATAATACATCAATAAAAATCAATTTCTCAGGTAAAGCATCATGATGCTGAACCTAAAGAAGGGGAAAGAGGAAATAAGATGGTATCTGAAATCTACCTCACAAGACTTCTAGCGACTAAGGTTAGTCCTTTGTTTAGCTTGCAAGACTTTGCTACAACTTTCCATCACTTGCATGCCAAGTTATTGCTCATCAGTGTTGCCCACAAAGTTCTAATTAACAGAAATTTTCATTACAGAAGAAAAGAACACTGTTTTTGTATATTTCGATCATATTCTTTCACTATTGATTTTGAGAGTATTTTGTTAAGCAGGGGCATCCTAGATATATGATATTAGTGGCAAAAATTAAGTGATTTTTTTAGATCAGTGGTGAAAATCAAAATGTAATCATCAAGTGACACGTAACTCAACTAATCTTCAAAATTTGATGATGAAAAAAGCTTTAAAAAATAGGTATAAAGTACTATATATTCAGTCATAACTTGAACCATTTTGTAGATGTATTCTTTTACACTTTAATATGATAGCTGATTATCATTTTTCAAAAGACTTTTTTCTTAGTCTAAAGAGTTTTTTGTTTGTTTTTTAACAGGGCACGCTACAGAAATTTGTGGATGACCTCTTTGAAACAATTTTTAGTACAGCTCACAGGGGGAGTGCACTACCTTTGGCTATCAAATATATGTTTGATTTTCTGGATGACCAAGCTGTCCAGCATGAGATTACAGACAAAGAAGTTGTTCATACGTGGAAGTCAAACAGGTGGAAGTTTATGATATTTACACTTGAAGTTGATGTGTTTGTCATGTGTATTCAGTGTTTAGTTATTATACTTTGCCAAAGTAGGTTTTTTTCCTCTTATTGGAAAAGAATGATGAGAGTAAAAGAGTTAAAATAATATGAATAGACATAGAACTAAAAATTTAAATAAGTTGTTTAATATTAAAAACAGTGTAAAACTCAAAATTCCTGATCATGGTTCAGAGTAATAGGACAGGACATTGGGTATCCCATGGTGCAGTGCTGCTTAAAATTTCAAAATGTCGGCAGCCAGTCACTTGAAGTGAAGACCTACAAAGGAGAGACCTTCAAAGAGGAATAGTTAGTGGATGCAGCATTGGTGTTATGAGTGTCTGAATAATTTCAATCCATCTACTCATACTCAAACTGTGTGTTGATGAAATGAAAAACCGCTGAATGTGGTAGATTGAAATACTTCCTGACCACCCAAACTTAATCTTTTTTTGGATTATGCATTTTAAATGTGAATCAAAAACTGCCCGTCCAAGTCATCTTGTTTTAATGTTTCTTAAACAACTGCACACAAATCTAAGATAACACTTTCAATGAAAAACAAATCCCACTGAACATAAAAACACATTATCAAGTCACAATAGAACTTGCTCTGATGTTTATAATTAGTACCCATATACTGTAAACGAAGCACGTATCAGCATGCGCTATAATTTTATATAAAAGACTGTCAAAGTTACTACTCCATCTAGAATTGCTTTAATTGTGCAAGAATCAAAAACTAATACATAAAACACAATCAGTGAGTTCTTGGCAAAAAATAGTCTTTGAAAATCATTTGTTTAGGTTTATGTAAATCCTCAAAAGTGACCCAGTAATGTTTAGTTTTTATAGTCAACTGGTACCTTATTGTTTTGAGGCTCATATGGTACCTTTGTTGTTATTGTTTTTATTTAACTTGTTTTTCTTGATCACTTTTCCAATATAGCTAATTGATTTGAGAGGATATAACTAACCCTAATTTTCAGTCAGTGGAAACATTTTAAGTCTGTCCTTTGATTTAAAATAAAAAAGTACTCTCACTCAAAACATGTAATTTAAAGAAACTGGTACAAAATAAGCCTAACTGTACTTCCAAACTTGACAATGTAATAACCTGACGTAGGTTTAGAAACCATTAGAAGAAAGGTTTTCCATGGGTAATACAGAAGTGGTGATGGAGTTTTCCATATAAGCAACCTTCTAACAAACTGCCTTAGACATCTGCATAAGTGGCTAATGACTGACTCAGTCATTTTTTTAAGGAACAGTAAATACATTTTGAAAATTATTTATGTATCATTTCTTATGGGAGTTATTATGAATATAAAAAAATATATATCGATTTGTTATTTCCAAACATTAGCACCTTTGAATAAGTATTGTATAGTTATTTGCAGCTAGTAAGATTCCATGATTGACTCTGTATAACAGGCAATGGCTCTCTAAAATCTTTTTTATACCAGTGGGAAAAATGACTATATCAAGTTGCTATAGACAAGTTGCAGCTATAAGCCACTCATCATAGCCCTTTTTTTTGAGAGTTGATCCAGCAGTAATAGTGAAGGAATTCATGAATTCCTTGTATTGGAACAATCTAGACATTGTTGCTCTGTTTGCACTGGTGGGGTATTTATACAACTGAATTACTCTTGGACATTAAGGAATAAAATCAATAGCTCTCTGCACTTGGGACTACTTATCAAGAGGAGTGGAAGTTGGTTTCACCAGATTTGTACCAATAGTTAGTAGAAGTGTTAATAAAAATGTCCAGACTGTGATTAAGATGAACTGTTCCAGTATTTTTGGTAATAGTGTTTGTATGTATGTAATTTTTGTTATATGTTTACCTTTGTTTGAAAGTGTCCAGTTTGTTATTTTAAGAATTCAGCTAGCGAATATTATAGCATAATAATAAAAAGAGGGTTTTATTTGACTATATTTTATATCCTTTATACATTTGGCTATTATATCTCAAAATATATATATATATTTTTTTATAATAAAGTTTTTGTTTTTTCATAGCCTACCCTTACGATTTTGGGTGAATCTCATTAAAAACCCGAACTTTGTATTTGATATCAATAAATCCAACATTGTTGACTCTTGCCTATCGGTGGTGGCACAAACATTTATGGATGCTTGCTCTACCTCCGATCATCGATTAGGGAAGGATTCACCTAGTAGTAAGCTGTTGTATGCGAAAGACATTCCAGTCTACAAAGATTGGGTTGAAAGGTAATTTGATTTTCTCTGTTTTTGGTGTTAAAATAGAAGTAATGAAAAAAAGAAATAATTACAAACAAATGTTACTTTTCCCAGAAACTCGGAAGAGGTGTTTTACTGAAAGAGAAAAAAGTACAAACTAACTGATAATACTAATGTCTTTTATTTTATTTGAAATATAAAAATAACCTTTCACTTTAGAAAGTTAAAAACAAATATATTCTGAAAGAATCAATAGCTTTGAGAAGTAACATACTAAATGAGAAATTCATTATTGGGAAACTGAACTCCAATTTCTTGGTTCTTTTAGATATTATCAAGATATTAAAGATATGCCAGCCATAAGTGACCAGGATATGAATGCTATGTTAGCAGAAGAATCAAGGGTAATTGTTTATTATCTATAATGCTACACTGATGGTTCAGTGGCTTTATCAACACATTTTACGGAGGTTCTAACGAGTCCTAGAAAGTTATGGAATTCTGGAATTATTTTACAGGCTTTGAAAATCATAATTCGAAAATGGAAAATTTAATGCCTAAATTATTTGTAACAATTTATTTTCAAGCCTCAAGATTAATACAAAAACGAGTCTTATGTTTACAATATGTTGATCACATTCAATTTACATACTAGGCATAAGTAAAATCATAAATAATATTCAATGTTAAAATTTGTACACAATTAAAAACATTTTATTTAGACCTATCTATGGCCTTCAAAAAGTTGATGACTCTACATGTTTTGACGTTGCAACGTGATATGTTAGCATTGTTACATGGTTTGTTAATATAGCCTTGTTTTATATCAAGAGCTGATTTTGTACTTTCAGCATTTCGTATTTATAAGACAGCATTCACATTCAAAGCTTTGAGTACTCTTTTTTTTTAATCTTCTAAAGTGATCTTGTTTACTGATGATATTTTATCTATTTCCAGCAACATGCCCACGAGTTTAACACAAATGTTGCTCTTCATCTTCTGTATAGTTATGCTGTGAAATATAATGACCAGGTAAGAGTGTAAAACTGATTAATGGAGTGCCTGATTTAGTAATAATTTAATGTTTACCCAACAAACGTTTTGTCCATAAATCTTACTGGCAGTGTTCAGTAAATGAAATTTGGCTTTATTAAATAATTCTTTAAAGCAAATTTATTGTACATAGCTTCAATTAAAAGTTAATCACTTGAAGACAATGAGCAATATATTTTATTTTTTTCTGAAGTATTTTTGTTTTTAATAACATTGGCCAGCAAAATATTTTACCTCTTTGAACAGTACTTACAAGACATTTAATTTTGTTCCAATATTAATTTAAAAATACTCTTATGGTATTGTCACCAAAAAACATTTTTTATGACTTAAAAAATCACTTGTACTGATTTGTTAACAAACTTGTGGCAAACTCTTGAAGTTTTGAATTTTGACCACTCGATGTCACAAGTATCTTTGATAATCTTAAGTGTGTGTTATGAACAAGAATAAAAATTTTAAAATACTACTGTTAATTTATATAAATGAGACAAGTACATTAGGTATTGGCACCAGTGACTAAAAAAAAATATACTTTTTCCTTTACAGTTTTTGTTGCAAGTCATCAAACATTTATTTAGTAAGCAGGGTTTATTTCTTCTCACTTTATAAAAACGATTGTTGTTTTTTTCTTTTACGTTGCAGTTGATGATGGCATTAGAAGAGGATGAATTTTCTCAGAAGAATCGGCTATCATCAAAACTGGAACAAGTACATGCTATCATGACAGGAGAGTCCGAAGCTTGACCTTTACCTAATGGTCATTAAACATAACATCAGACAGTTTTAGTGAATAAGAGTGTCACAACAAACTGTGATCATCTTAGTTCTTCTGTGCCATGTTCCATTTCTGTTTTAACTAAAGCTGGCTTAAGTCTTGAAGGTGTCAAGAATGTTGTTAATTGATATTGCTGAAACCTTGAAGATATAGAGCATGTTGTTAGTATACATACTATTCTAAAAAAAAAAAGATAATGTCAGTCAGCACTTTAAAGACTTGTTAAAACTTTTACAATTAATCACAAAGACTGATGAATGGGAAAAGCTGTTAAAAACTGTGGTGCTCTTCACTGTAAAAGCTTAACCCATAAGATATTTCCCTGGCTCAATGCCCCCAGAGCTTTTCCTTCTTTTTCTGAACCCCCACATGGGTTGCACAAAGGACGTGTGTGTGTTTAGCTTGTGCCTGTTGCGTTTGGATCATAGAAACCTACCAGTCAGTTTCAGTGCCTTTGTGATTGGTCACACCCTGCCCACCCTATCTGCTGTTGATTGCTTTCAGCCCAAGTGGACTACAGTTTCAATACAGCCACTATCATCAGTCGTCTTCCAGAGATGCTCGCTTTGTCTTCTTCCTTATGTCTTGGTAAAGTTTTTAGTGACACAGAAATACTGACTGATGGCTCTGCACAGTTCAGGAGCACAATGAATACTTGGGACAAAAGTTCAGCCATATCACAACACCTCCACAGTATGTATCTGTAATGATATTGGATCTAACATGTATGTCCTGTAGTTGTTGAGTTTCTCAAATAATGAATTTGTGAAGAAAGTAATGTACATTCTGTTGTGTGTGTATATCCGATTTTGTTTATGTAAAATAGAATGACATTGGCCATGAGTGGCTAGTGTGCAGTGGAATGAACTTTTTTTAATTTCCATCTACTGTGATAAGTGTTGTACAAACAAGTTCTTGGCCACAGGAGCAGTAATAAATATTGTAGCTTTTGTGAATCACAAAATCATGTATTGAAAAATAATTATCAGTTGCCTTTATGAACTACGGACGTGGTAAAAATTGATATTAAAGTTAATGAAATTTGTTTCTGCTTATCAACACAGTTCATTTGTCATCATTTAAGAAAGGTTTTCTGTGTGCCTTTGTCGTTGATCTTCACTGTCAGCATACTACTAATAACTTTCCACCATAACAGTATCGGTAGATACACTGATTCTTATTAGCAGGATTGTACTTAAAATTGTGGATATTGTCTGTAACTGCACCAACAAGTTGTCCTGTTTCTTGGTGTATTGGGAAGTGACACGGCGCTGTGGAAACTGTGGTTGTCATGAAGACATGGAGGTTGCTGCTGGGAAGCCTCACATGCTTTAAATTGCTAAAAAAGGAAAAAAAAACTGAATTTTCATTAAGTGTAGATGTATCATGCAGGGAATGTGGTGTCAACTCTCCTGAAAAGTTCCCCTTTAGTCAGACTTGCTTCCAAGTGGAAAATAAGGCCAGAAACTAAAACTTAGTGTGTTTTATTTTTATTTTTAATGAACTGTATGAATGTTTGTTTTTTATTATAAAGTATGACTTGTGTATCAGAATTAGCTGCAATGTGTGTGTTCAGAAAAATAAATTAAGAGAGAGAGAGAGAAAAGAAGGAAAGATTAATCAAGAACATTGGATATTTCTGAACCTTAACCAATTTCCACATACTGAAGCAGGCTTTAGCTTCAGGGGATTTTTTTGTGACCCTTCCCCCCCTCCCCTTTACTGGTGAGGTACATCTGTTTTTGTACGACTTTAAAAACTGTAAAATATTTATAAAATATTTTTATTATGGTAATGGACTAGACAATTCACTACCCTGCTCAAATAATTTCCTGCATTAAAATGGTGTCTGTAAAAATAAAAAGCTGAAGCATGTATTTGTCTAAGTGTCTTTTGTGGCATCCATAACTTTTGTTTTCTTCATGAATTAAGACAAACCAATCACGGTGGTTAGGGCACTCGACTCGCAATCTGCGAGTCATGGGTTCGATTTCCCATCCCACCAAACATGCTTGCCCTTTCAGCCGTGAAAGCATTATAATGTGACGGTCAATCCCACTATTCGTTGGTGAAAGAGTAGCCCAAGAGTTGGAAGTGGGTGGTTATGACTAGCTGCCTTCCCTCTAGTCTTACACTGCTAAATTAGGGACGGCTAGCACAGATAGCCCTCGTGTAGCTTTGCACAAAATTCAAAATAAACAAACAAATCAGTCACGGTTTAAGGAAAAATCTGTGAACACATGAAGCTCATGCAACTTCTAATAACATGAACTCTGAAAAATCATCACTAAATATTTGTAACCATAAAATGACATCTTTCATATGGCATATCTTAACTCACACTATGAATTGTAAAAACTTTTACAAAAAATATACAGGGTGTTGAACAGATACTAGCCTGGCATGTCCTGGGGACGAGGGTACTTGACTCGCAATCTGTGGGTCGAGAGTTTAAATTCCTGTCGCCAAAGATATTTTCCCTTTCAGCCATAGGTGCATTGTAGTGGGATGGTCAATCGCGCTTTGTTGATAAAAAGAGTAGCCCAAGATTTGGTAGTGGGTGGTGTGTTGACTAGCTGTCTTCCTTCTAGTCAATCACTTCTAAATTAGGGATGGCTAGCTTAGATAGCTCTTAAGTAACTTTACACAAAATTCAACAAACAAACAGTAAATATGTCTTTGATTTTAACACCTCCTGGAAATCTGGTTATCCAAAAGAATGTACGATACAACACAAATTGTAAAACTAGTGTCATTGATATTTTGTAAAAGAAAGGTTTACAAGATGAGCTAAATTCATTTAATATTTTTTCAAATATGAGAAATTATAAGGACATACAAGTTCCTAAATAATGTTCCAAAACAATAAAACCTTTATTTTGTAAGTTACCAATTCAGTGCAAACTTCGATAAAATTGTTCATATTTTGTTGCTTCTTGTAGTGTGTGCATATTCCTAATGGATTTACTCAATAATGTTTGCTTGACAGAAATGTTAGTTACCTACAGGAGGATATTGCACGTAAAAAAATGTTTTATGGAGTATTTTAAGGCTCCATCTCAAATGTTCAGAGAAGTAAACAGAACACTGTTTAAAATGTGTCAAACAGAAGTGTTGCTTTTTTTTTTTAACTAGAGAAAATAATATTGTTAGGTATAAATAATGTGTTAATGTATATAATGGCTCTTTATGGGTGCGATTTAAAAGTTAGTCAAACCTATTATTTGATTCAAAGCCTTTGTGGCAGCAGGTGCTACTGACTGGGTGTTTCATTCTGGTCAGTAGTTCTAATTTAGAGATGGCTATACCTGAACCTTTAGGAGTGTGACCAATTATGCCCACGTATGCATAATATGTTATTCAGGCTGAAAATACAATCGCATGAAAATGATAATTTACATTCAAGTTGCTTTGAAATATTTTATTGTTTCTAACATTGGAAATCTAGATATTTAAATTACATGCATACATATATATATACATGTTCAATGTTAGAAACAGTAAGTTGGTCGAGGTCAATCAGAAATGAAACTGATTAGTACAGACATTTGGTGTTAAGAGTCAACAAGTACAATTCTTAAAAGGTGGTCATATTTATGTGAAGATTTTCCAAGTTAAAATAGGACTAGTTAGAATTGAAAGTGTTTTGATATGAAATGCTTGGTACTGATACATGCAAGTTCTGAAAACTTGGCAACCTCTGTTGGACTGTGATCTCGTTTTTAGTTCCTGTGGTTAGTACATAATAATTGTATTTTGTTGGTACACTAAACAGCAACAACAAAAATAAATGGTGCAATTTTCATCATGCAGTCAGTACTGCTGAATATGATATGTAATTTTTTTCCCACCGTTTTATCATTACAAATATTTGTGGAGAAGTGATTTCAATACCTTTTATAACTGGGAACTTTTCAAGTACCTTATTGTTCTAGTATATATTATATAGTATGCAGGCACATATAGTATGTTTTCTTCTTTTTTTTTAAGTAAACTTCGCATGAAATTTTCACTATATACGTTTATGTAGCCTAAACTATAGAACGTTGGTCAAGGAAATAGCCAAGTTCTTTTGACTTTAGTTACTTATTATTCTGGATTATTTGCCTATGGTATCATGTGCGCTTTTTAGTGAGAAAGATTGCTGTGAAGTTGAATAACCTATGTGAAAAGTCCCCCAATGGGTCATTGGTGAGTTTACAGACTTAAGTGCTAAAATCCGGGGTTTCATTCTTCCCACAGTAGACAAAGCATATATATATCTCATTGTGTAGATTTGCACTAAACACAACAACAGTTATATGCATGTAGAAAACAATGAGTCCAAAATTGTGATAAAAATGATTTTAAAAGTAATATTTTCCACTGGCATGTTGGCGATACCTCGAGGTTATCACCTTCCGTATTTTTCATTAAGAATGACCAACAGTATAATATGTATTGCACACATCCTGAGAATAATTGAATTATTATTTCATCTAAATAATGGCATGTTTCTCAGTCTGAGATGGATTTACAGATACTTGCTTTTTCACAAAGAACCGTGGAAGCTCCAGTAACAGCACTTACTATCTTATGTATATACACTTGCTGGCAGGTAAGACAGCAAGCATTAATATGTGAAGATGGTGATCCATGCGTCATTTGTGAGCTTCTCTGGGGTGGAAGGTATACTGACAGGACAACCATGGGTCACTGAAAGATCTGGGTTCATGCAGTGGTAATGAACAAGTAGACTTCTGGTAACTTCTTGTATCCATGGGCAAAGACTTAATGCTCATCTGAATGTAAGGCCCCTGATTTTACCCACTACTCTGTACCCTTGACTTTTATGAACTCAAAGCTTAGTGCTAGCCAAAAGTTGTTGGAATAAGGGTTTATGCCACAAACACAGGTATTTGTGAAAGAGGCCAGCCAGAGCTCTACCCCACTGTTTCAAGCGAGTGACTGCTAGGATTTGCAAGACCGAGAAACAAATGGTGTGATGATTGATCTTACATTTGGATTAATTAGCACCAAAAATGGGGTTTCGATACCTGTAGTGGGCACAGCATAGAAAGCCCATTGTGTAGTTTTATGCTTAACATCAACCAAAATTCTGGGACTGAGATACGGTCATAGCCAAGTTATGCCAGTGTTTTGACCCAGTGGAGGACAAAGCTATTCATACTCTGCAAAGGTTTTGGCAGATCACAAGAATCTTCTCATTAGACAAGTTCGTCTAAGAGTTACCTAGTGAATCGATAAAGCAGATGACTGCTTGGATTTGCAGAACTCGGTAATAAATGGCGCAATGATTGATCGTACATTTATATTATCTAGCCCTTGATTCTATCAAGTGCCTGTGAGCGACCTCTTTGACAGAGGCAGTCCTATTGTGATGAGGTACAAGATTATAACTTTCAATATTCCAAGACAGGAAAACCTGCAATGGCTGTACTTTCAACAGACTGCCATCCTCAACTGACTGTGTCACGCCAAGCTCAAACTTCATCATGGATAAACCAGCAGTCAACACGTCCCGACAATGCAACACAGTCCCACTGAATTTTAATGAGTGGGCAGGGCTTTCCTAGTCCTGCCATGATGTTTATACTGCAGCCAGTGCAGAAGATAATTCCATCTGGATGTTTTTCTGGAATGGAGAACCAAAAAATATGCTTTGGATGTGGGCAGTTGGGTCACTTTAATCCATTCACACTAGAAATGGCGCAGTTTGCCTCGAGAACGAAATTTCACCATTGAATGAAAACAGTATATGAATAATAAACTTGTATTCGTTTTTCCACAAACAAAAAATACTTAAGAATTAAAATATACCGTGTAAAAAGCTTCAATTATTAAAATAAAAAAGCGCAAATTTTGTTTTTGGGTTGATTTCATTGGGAGCACAATGAAATCATCAGCGTTTGTGAATTTCCTGAATAGAGGACTGCTGCAACATTCCAAAGGACGGTTTGGAATAAAGAGGACAAAGCTGGAAGATGAAGCAGCAGAAGACACAATCGTTGCGGATAGCAATGATTGTATGTCAGCTGGTTACTGATTCAGCAAAACAAACTAGTCAAGAGTCATGTAATGTAAATATTATTTCTATCATTCCTCTTCAAGAATGTGGTGACAGTGAATCTAACATTGAAAGTGATCCACCAGTCAAGCTAATCAGTTTGAGTAAAACATAATCTAGTCTTAAAGCCGTCATCACGTGGTTCGAACAAAACTGATGTATATATATTAAGATGATAACGTAATGTGCTATTTGCTTGAAGCTGCTGAAAAGCTTCAAGGGAAAAAATAATTTCAAATCATACTGTGATTACATCATTCTTTGGAAAGTGATTTCTTGTATATTTGACGAATGCTATGTATTTTTTGGTCTTTAAGTAAGTCAATGGTTTGAAATATAATGTTTAATGTGAAGATACTGAAATGGCACTTTGCTTATGCAACTTGTTTAAAATACTGACGGCGTATCGAATAATAAGCTGATAATTTTATTATGCATACAATTGCTTGTTGTTTAACAGTTGCATACGAACCCTTACTAGTTTGCATCCATACATTTATTGACCGATAACACATCCTATTAACAGTGTCCATTGTAAACAAAGTGACTGATGTGAACACCCTGACTTCTCGATAATCGAGACGAATTAGTTCGTGACAAGTGCATTCGAATTAATAAGGTTTCAATGTAAACCATTTATGGTCTCTAATAACTGAAATTATTGTGCTTATAAAATCGTTGTTCAATTTTCCAAGTTGTAATTAATTTGCACAATTGCTGTTCAACATTTACACTTGGTGCTTCCCTTTTAAACATATATGTTTACAATTGTATGTTTAATCTTTTTCATTAACTTTGGTGACGACAC